CTGGAGGCGAAGTTCAGAGAAAGGACCTTGTGGGAGGCTGATGCTATGGTCCAGGCTAGGACCTGACCTGGACAAGGACAAGGGGAAATAAAGAATGGGCATGAGATAAATAATGGAGGAAGAACTCATGGCCTGACTGTGATGTTTTGGACAATAAGACCGGGATGAGGGGAAGGAGAAACAGGGGGCTTAGCATGTGACTGTTATTGCTCTCTTCTCCCCAGAAAAGCCTGGGCCATCTTAGACTATCCGGGAAATGACCAAACTGCCTCTCCAGCCAGCCAGAGCCTCAGGCTTCTCAGAAAGCTTCTCTTGCACCATCTGGTAGAGAATGTCTTCACGTTGCCTTTGTCTGGGAGACTCTCGCCACTCTCAGATTAATCATGGACATTTGAGCTCTGTGGGACTCTCCTGTTGCCCACACAGCCCTTGGTCTCCCTGTTTCTAAGTATGTTACACCGCCAGGCTCAGGGTAGTTCTTCAGTGACTCAGGCCTGGGATTTCCCCCACTTTCTTTGCTGGAGAAGTAGGTTTTTGGTTACTCTGTTTCATTGTATTGCTCCCAATTATTGTACCTCAGATCACCCTTAAAGAACTGCTTCCCCCAGACTCCGGTGGCAGCTTAAGAAACACAGACAACAGGGCAGGAAGAAGGTATCTGACCCCGAGCTTAGCAACCATGAAGCCAGTGACCACCATCTCTAGAAGTCAATGATTCCTAAAGTCTCTGCAGTACTAGTTGCTCATTTAAAGAGGAAAGGTGTCCCCAAGGGCCTGATTAATTTCTCATGGTCACAGGACCTAGAAGCGTTAGGCTACCTAAACAAAGGCAAAGAGGCAAAGCAAGGCAGTCTCAGAACTATGTTCCTTCGATGCTTTCATTTGAGGGGAGGGAGTCTAAGAGGGAGTTAAAAAACCAACAAATATTTTAAGTGGATGGAGACAACTGGAGAACGCAATTAGCCCCCTCGCCCCCATGAGGTAGTCATTTACAGCCCCAGTCACCAGCAATTATAACCCTCGGGGCCATTTCCACTAACTGGAGTAAAATCTCTATTAGCAAAGAACTTCATCCAAATCTAGAATGGTCAGTGGTTGTGAGGCTGGCATCTGGGACAGGCGCATAAAGAGACTGATTCTCTCATGTGGCCCGGGCATCGTGGGGAGGAGAGAAGCGTGGTCAGGAACAATGGCGGCGGTGGAAGGGCAACCTGCAGGCCTGTGTCAGGGCAGGAAGAAGAACCCAGGAGGGATAACAGAGAACCCACATGGGGCTGAAGTCTCTCATCTCCATTTCTCTTAGCAGTCACTTCTCTCTAGAGTCAACATTTGTGCCTCCTATGTTTTTGTCAGTTTTCCACCCAGCCCCATGAGCCTTGACTACTCCTGCCCTGGGCATGTTAGGTTGATGAGGGTAAAGGGGAGATCTCCCTTTGTTTACAGTGGTAGGTAGAGACATGTGTTCCTGGAACCCCACATGGTGCAGACAGTGGATGTCCTATTTTTTAAGGACGCTGAGTTGACTAGCTCTGGTGGCCTGGATCTGAGAGTCTAAGCATCACAATTAATGCTATTGTTATGGGAGTTCCCAGCAACCAGCTGACAAACTTTAGGACTGCCCGGTGCACCAAATGCTCGGAGAGAGGCAAGCATTGTGGCCAAGTACTCACTGTACTTGTACTCATTGTCATTGTACTTGCCAGTGCCTACTTCCAGGTTCGAGCTGCCCAGCTATGACTGGGGTATGCATTCCATCGGAGAGTGCCATCACAGAATTTTACAGAGCTGTGAGGGAGAAGCCAATTATCGTTTTAGTGAAACATATTGCCAGGAAAGAAAGTTTATAGTAACCAATATTTCCAAAGATACAAATGCTGTGAAATGGTCTCGTTTTAGTGCTTTTGTATGAAACAAGATACCAGGGCAGGAAATGAGTCTCCCTGCAAGCTATACTGCAAGTGATGGGTGGGTAGAAGTGGAGAGAATGGGATCTGATGTTTTTAAACCCATTCTGCTCTGCTATTTGTTAGATCCTCAGACATTCACACATTAGGTGCCACTCATTTTCTGTAAGGTCTAATGGTTGTCTCCCACGTCCCTTCCTCAGGCTGGGTTTTTTTTTTCCCCTGCTAGGGGCTGTTTTTTTTTTTTTTTCTGCTGGGGGTTGTTAGTATAGGAACTGAGTAACTAGAGATGATCCAGGCCAGAAATTTAAGAATACAGTTCATTCTGCTTCCATAAGTGTTGGGAGGGCGACTGAAAATAATGGAAACCCCTATACGCTGATAGTGGATGACACTAAGAAACCTGATAAATCTGGGCCAGTGAAAAGGTGAAGTTATAGATATTGTGTGATAGCTCCACTACAGCCCCCACCTCTGGCTGTATCCAGCAGCCAAAAGCAGAGAGAATTGTGTGTTGTGCACACCACGAATACTTGCCATTTCAAGACATTGTGCTCCTTTCCTTGGTGAATGGATGTAGCATGATCACAAAAATCTAAGATGAAAGAGAATCACTTCTTTGCTTGATTCCCACCCCTGCACCCTCTCCTCCTGTCTGCGCTTGGCAGGGGACAATGGCTGGGTGGGGCTGTGGTTTAGACCAGAAGTAAGATGTGCAGGCCAGGAACTCAAGTGCCCCTGGGTGTGTTGATGGGCCAAGGTGGGGGTACAGGGGGAAGAGGGTATTTAGATGCAATGAGGTTCAAGTCATCAAAAGGGCAAGTGTTAGCAGGTGTAAATCAGGCTGACCACAGAGACAGAAAATGCTGTTGAAACCCCAAAGACATGTAAGGATGAGAAGAATGAACTTTCTCCTCCTCTTTCCTGAGGGTGTGTTTTAAGTGGTCTCCAACTCAAGCGGCTAGGATTAGTCACAGTGGCAATTTCTAAGAGGACCAAAATGATTTTATATACACGCCCTGGTGAACTAGATGGCAGGCATCCTATTACTTGCACTTAAGACGGGGCAGCCTGGTGACTGACTGGGTTGGGTTGGCAACAGCTACTCAGTTTCATATAATAATAATGGTAATACTAATAATCACAAGAAAAGCAACACCCTTAGTACCTGCCATGTGCCAGGCACTGTGCTAGGAGTTTCACATGTATAATCCAATGTAACCCTCGTATTTCCCTGTACAATTGGTGTTGCAACCCCTCCCTTCACATAGGAGGAAACTGAGCCCAAAGGGTCAAATAACTTTAGATGATTCTAACTCAGCCTCTGTCTAATTCCCAAACCTCTTTTCATGGCACATTCAAGTCCAGCAGAGCATTGAGGAGGTGTGCAAGAACCCGAGAAAAGCAAAACTGAACTTGAATGTGCGGGGAGAGTATCCATAGACATGAATGCTCCGAGTTCTCCCCTGAGGCGGCAGGAGAAACTTCCTCGTTTTTGTCACTCACAGAGAAATTGGACAAATTCCTACAAAATAGCCTGGGTGGGAGAGAAGTGCTTGGATTGGGAAGGAGGGCAGGGCTTGCTGGAGCAGGGGCAGAAGCAGAAGCCACTCTCACGTTTGACCTGTAAAGAGCAAGTGTTTCCTGAGTGGAGATAAAAGGCATCTGGAGTGCTGGGATTAGTGCTCTCCAGTAAATACCTGGTATAGCAGGGAAGTGGCTCAAGCACACTCAAAGCTTCAATTAAATAAGATTGGAGAGAGAGAGAGAGAGAGAGAGAGAGAGAGAGAGAGAGAGAGAGAGAGAGAGAGAGAGAGAGAAGCGCACGACTGCAGGATATGCAGAGCTGTCTCCTCCCTAGGTGGGGAAGTCCACGCAGCCACCCTGCTAGGGGTGTGAACAAACCCTTTGCTTTGAAGTCCCTGGGGGCCTGCACTGCAGGTAACTGTTTTGAATAGACACAGCACCCCTGCAGCTGACATAAATTAGAATAGCCTCCCGTGGGCATCCTTCACACTTCTTTTACTTTCTGGGTTTTAAGATCAGTGGGCTCTCTTTTCCTACACTGCTGAGATTATGGCTGAGCGCTTTTGTTTATCCACGCACATTCTTAATCTATACTGGCTCCCACTTCTCCCACCATGTGATTTATGCATTGGTGTCTTCTGTACTGAGTCTGGAAGGACTGGAATTTATATAAATGTCATGCACAAGTAGAAGTCACATTTGGTGGTATCTCAGGCTACAAGCTTCTGAAGCCCCCCGGAACTGTCATATTGAGTCCTAGGAAATATAACACGACTTCCAGACCAACAGCAGCTTCCCTGCCGTGGGCACACACAGCCCAAAGGCTCAGGTGCAGTGATGCGAGTCTGAAATAGTCAATAAGTAGGTGATCAGACCGTTAAACTGTAATTAGGCTGTTATAATTAAGGAATGCCAAACAGCGTGATAATAATAGAAGTTGTGGCGCTCACCTTTTATATCTCACCTGGGATCAAATTAGTAGCCTATTCAGTCTATGGGCACCGAGTAGTAGCTGCTATTCTGTGGAATCATCCATTTCTATTACAATTGCCGGGTGCGCAGTTTGACAGAGGCAAGGACACTTCCCTAGTGGAAATGGAAATGTATATGACATTGTTGCACTGAAAATTATAGTTGTCAAAAGGTCTTTTAAAAATCCAAGTCCTGCTTTTGGCCTTTAAAACACCAATGAAATAAAATATTAACCGGTATCATGAAACGTCCTTTATTTGAAATAGGCTCTTTTGGAGAGATAGGTATATAAATACCTGAGACGCAGAATTGTGTTTATATTTTGGTATATGTAAATAGACAAATAGGCACTTCGGAAACCAGGCTAACGAAGTGTTCTTAGGATGTTTATATTTTGGTATATGTAAATAGACAAATAGGCACTTCAGAAACCAGGATAACGAAGTGTTCTTAGAAATTTATGATGAAATTGTGATGGTTTTTATTGCAACTCCTTCCAATTTGAGCAGAGAGCCCACGTGTGTGAGAAAGCTGAAGTATCTCCTTGCCTCTGACAGTAACCTCTTGTTTCCCCCTTGTTTTCTCCTTTCTTCTCAGGACTTTGAACCCTCCAAGTCATCAAAAAGCCAAGATGTTGGTGTTACTGGCTGGCATCTTCGTGGTCCACATCGCCACTGTCATTATGTTGTTTGTTTCCACCATTGCCAATGTGAGTAGTGTTCTTTGCTCTTTCATTCATTCAGAAGTTATTTAAATATTGACATAGAGTACTACAAAAGATATTTAAGCTACAATCCCTGCCCTTCATGAATTTGCAGCTTAGTTGTGGGAAAAAACATAAACATACACTCACACTTCAAATAACTAAATAACAGGAGGATCAAGTCAGTGCTGCCTGAGGCTGGAGAACTCAATGAGGCTTCTTCAGTCTCCATAGGACCTTCTCAGCTCAGGTGGAGCTTGGAGGCCTGCTAGATGGCCAGGCTTTCTCTTGGCTTGAGATGAAGAGTGGAAAGACAATAGGGATACATCCCAGGCAGGGCCCCGGGGGAGGGACAGGCTTTGTTTGGGTATAATGAAGACACCCAGGAGGAGTCAGGAGCAGAACTTCCCTTCCTTCTGGGAACCTTGATTAGAAGGAGATGGGAGTGAGATGATGAGAAACTTTGGTTCCCAGACTGACTGATTCAAGTTCCGCGCAGAGAGTAATCACCTGTGAAAGTGGAAATTAGCAAAGCTATCACTCACTCAAACAGAACAACATACAAATGTGGAGGGAGCAAGTCCCTTCTCTCCGAACCTTGAGCTATTCTGCCCTCTAGTGCTAGTTTGTAGCATCCAATTTGCTTTTCTTGGGAAAAAAAAAATCCCCAAAAAACAAAAGACAACTCCTTCCACGCAAAAACCCTAAACACCAACTGCTAGATAGGCAAATAATGGTTCAAGAATCTGCTTAGTTCCCTGTTACAGTTCAAGGATAAATGGGTTTTAAAGTTCAGATAGAAGGGTTTTGCCAACATTGGTGGATGTGACTAAACAAGGCTAATGTCAGCCTGACTTACAAGACAGAAGCTCTGCGGGTGCAGCCTCCTCCAGACTGTAATTTAGCCATCCTGTAGGCCAGTCCCCTAGGCTCAGGATAACAGGTCGATCAATGACCTCAAACAGAGTTAGTGGATGCCGAAGTGCTGAATACCGAATCAGGAGCAGGCGATTGCACCTCGTTGACCTCGCCTTTCCAGTAACGTGCATTGTAGCAGACACTCCGAGGGGACAGAATCGGGAGTTTGTTTTCCACTCCAGAAGGGTAACTGCTTTTCTTGGGCACAGTAAGCAGGGGAGCTGGCACTGTGGTGAGGCTCAGGGAACACATTCTGGTCACTTTCCCACTTTTGGCTGCCCCACAGTAAAGCTCTTGCTGTTCTATTTTGCAATGAAATTACTTTGCACGTTGTGACAATCAAAGTTTAATCCTTCCGTTTAGATGAAAGTGGCTTTTTAACCACGCGGAGTCATTGCTCTTTTCTAAGTTTATCCTTGTGTTTTCTTAGTTGTCTCCAGTTGAACACTTTTTTCTTAATTTTTCTTTTTAGCCAGACCCTTACGTGACACAGTCTTGCTACGGTGTATGAATTGTGCACACTTAAAACCAATTTCCTGCCCTGGCCGGTTTGGCTCAGTGGTTGGAGCCTCAGCCTGCGGACCAGAGAGTCCAGGGTTTGGTTCCTGCTAGGGGCATGTACTAAAAAAAAAACTAAAAAACAAACAAACAAAAAAACCCCCAATTTCCTCATCCAGGGTTTCCATGTCTTAGAACCTTAGAATTTTAAAACATTGTGATTAAACTTTTTCCTTTTTTTTTTTTTAAGTGATTAGGTGGCTTTTCCTTGGTCACACAGTCTTCTCTCTCTCCTCTCGGCACCTTTGTGACTTCAGTTTTAGCCGAATCTTATTTCCACCAACAGACGGGTGCATAACCATATTTGTGGCCAACTATGGTATCTTGCTTAAGATTGGTCCCGACACAAGCTGATTTAGTATTTATTTTTCTTTTAAAGCAGAGGGTCAGTGTTTAAACACCTTTTTGCTTTCCCCCTGTGTTTAGGTCTGGGTGGTTTCAGACTTTGGAAGATCATCAGTAGGTCTTTGGAAAAACTGTACCGAAGGTAACTGCAATGGAGACTTGCTGTACGCCCACGAAGGTATCTATAAAGATATTGTTTGTATTCAGTGCTGACAAGTCGTGTGACCGGAAACGTCCAGCCTGACACCCTTGTCCCCCCCTGTGTCCACAGACGCGCTCAAGGCTGTGCAGGCCTTCATGATCCTTTCCATCATCTTCTCTGTCATCTCCCTCATGGTCTTCGTGTTCCAGCTCTTCACCATGGAGAAGGGGAACCGCTTCTTCCTCTCGGGGGCCACCATGCTGGTGTGCTGTGAGTATCTCAGGCGCAGACTCCAGTTTACCCAGGCAAAGCTTTTGAGTAGATCCTACCATGGGTGCTCCTGGCAACTTGAACAGATGAGCACACACTCTGGTTATTTGTTCTCTTTTCGAGAACCCCCGATAGCTGCTGGGAATAAGAACCCTTATCTGCTTCATTGTTTAAGTCTAGTGCTTGGAGGCAGCCCCCAAGTGGCGAGTGGTGGGGACCACCAGCAGCACTTGTGTATAAGATGTTTGAAGAGGCCCGATGGGTGGGAGTCCTCGAAAGATAAAACCACAATGCTCACCACTGTTGCCAGTGTCCTCCCTCATTCTTCCCAAACACACACAGTCTGGCGGCGGGCTTGCATCCCTGGGCAGCCTGCCTACCTGTGCTGGGTTGCGGACGTGATGGGCTGTGTCTCACTTCACACTTGCAGCCACCAACACAGTGCAGGTGTGAGAGCCCAGCGCCTCTAATTTATAACAGGACTATCCAGCTTGGATCAGGATAGATCAACAGAACAAGTTTGGGGCCAAAAAGCCAGACTTCATTTTCCCATTGCAGATGAGGGAAATTAGATCTTTTTAAAATTATAAAACCTGTTTTGGTTTTAATTAAAAAATAAAAATAAAAATAAAATAAAACCAACCAAACAAAACCTAAACTTTTTTTCCCCCTTGCAGGGCTATGCATTCTGGTTGGGGCGTCCATCTATACTCATCATTACGCAGATGGTAGTGGAACCCTCTTCCTTAAAAGTCACCACGGCTACTCCTTCATTCTGACCTGGATCTGCTTCTGCTTTAGCTTCATCATTGGCATTCTCTACCTGGTCCTGAGAAAGAAATAAGGCTGAACTCGATTATGGGGATCTGGGGGGTGGGGAGGAGGAAGCCGAGGAATTTGGGAGGGAAGTGAAAGTTGTTCTGCAGGAAAAGCCAAGATGGGGCGGGGGGCGGGGGAGGGAGACATGAGGGTGGGAGAGGCTGAAACCCAAACTGTTACTCAGGAGGTCACTACTGTCAAGCCCCCACCCTTGGGAGAAAGTAGTTGGCTAGAACTTGGATGTTCCCTTGATGTGGGCTAGAGAGCCTCTCTCCAGCCACCAGACTTGGCCTCCAGCTGCTCTTAGTTACATACACAGCTGCCACACCACTGGCTCCACTTCCAAGGGTGAATTCTGGGTCTTGCACTGTGGTCCTCAGACCTACTGCACCAAGTTAAAATAGCGGTACAAGTTCCGGCAAGGGCAGAGATTGTTTTTGTACTGAATATGCTAAGCCTGGAAGCCATCCTGCCATCCCGCCCTTCCGACCCAAAGAAAACATCACATTCCAGTCTGAGGGGCCCACAGGAGGGCTTTGGCCTGCGAGCCATTATCCCTCTTTGGAACAGATATTTAACTCTGTGGAATTCAGTAGTATTTGTGACAAAGTGGTAGGAAGAGATATAAGTCATGAAGCCAAGTTGGTGGGTTAGTGAAACCAAGGAAGAGAACTTTTCATAGTGGAAGGCCCAGGGGGTGGTCAGAACCCAGACCAGACCTCACACAGCTGTCCCTTGTGGAGACCTCTTGCTGCGGACTTCGCTAGGCCTCTCGCTTTAAGCCAAGGTGGCTCTCCTGGAGTTTCAGTAAAGCCACTACGATCAATTCTGTGGTGAAAGCACCACCCAAATTATGGGGTCAAGGGGCAGTCTTGCAACAATACTATATTAGAATTATGATTTTAGTATTCTCTCTCCATGCAATCAGTGTTTCTTTTAAGTATATAACGAGAGAGACAGACATAGCTCCTTACAACACAATCTGTTACTCTCCCTTTAAATGATAAACTTTTCAGGATGTTTTATCTAATTATTCATATTTGGGATCAGGGCTCCTAGGCTCAGTGGCAACTTTAGCTTTGACACTGGCTGGAGTGGTCACCTTTCAGAAAACCTGCCTGTCTTGCTTTAGAAGTGAGGCAAGACAATTCTGGAAGCTTATTGAAACACACACAAACCAAAATCAACAACATGTCCTTGGGTGAAAGGTGCTATGCAGTTGGAAAGTGTTAAGCATAGATTTAAGTCATGAGAAGAACAGGGTGCCTGTGCTCCCAGGAAAATAAAAAAAGTTCCCTGAGATAAATAAAAATATAGGTGATGGACAGATATCTTCTTTAAGGAAAAAAACAAAACAAAACACTTCTTGTGGTGCTGTCAGATGGTAATTGATCTGTTTGTTGCCACAGAGCATTTCTATATAGGATTTAGAAGTAGTGTGTTATTCCTGATTAAGCAGGCACTGCTCTGGCCTGGAGCAGCTATTTTAAGCCATCTCAGATTCTGCCTAAAGGGTTTGTTTTAGGAAGACATTTCCTTCATCACCCCGAGAAGATCTACCCTAGGGAGAACCTGAGACATCTTGCCTATTTTTCTTCTTCTAGCTCTCTCATCCAATTTCTTATATACTTTTCCTTTTTGGAGAGTTGTTATGCTACGATTACTGGTATTTATGTAAAAGGACTCTTGATAAATATATTTCTCTGTGTTCATTCGGTTAAGGGAATGTTGAGGACAGATCACCGAATTCTCTGGGCAGAAGATAGAGAGGTTGGAAAGCAAAAATTATGGGATGATAAACTTTTTAATTATCATTTAATTATCACATGATTGTAGAAGGCTGTCTTATGTGCAGAAGCATACTTACATATCTGCTATATCCAAAAGAGATAATTGCATTATGTTAAAATGTCAAACTATGACTTGAGTGAACCATGTATTCCCATGTCTTTTACTTTGTTTCTGTGCCATTTATGTCTCATGTAATTTGCATTACATTGGTGGGTTGTTCTAGTACTGTATTTGGCTTCTTCTTTAATAGATTGATATTTCATATACTATAATTGTAAATATTTTGATACAAATGTTTATAACTCTAGGGATATAAAAACAGATTCTGATTCCCTTCATCGTGTGAATGTTTTCTTTTGGAAAAAATGTAGGAAAATATGGATAACAGTGACATGTATTTCTAATTAAGTTGTCAATCAGTTTGATTTGGACAACTTGGCATTTATTCGAGACACTAAGCTACTTTCTGTAATACATTAGGCATTTATACAATAACTCTTTTAGGCAATTGAATGTTATTAAGTATAGTTTTATCTTACTTTAATTAAACCTCTTAAGCACAAAATGGAACTTCATAAGCTAATACATTAGAGAGAGCTTGTGATCTTGATTCAGAATGGTTTATGACATTGAAAAATGAGGCACTTGCAAAGTTTCTTTGAAATAGCCAACTCCTCTAATGTGTGTTCAATTGACATATCAATTCACAAAGGTATGCAACACATACATTTGCAGGAGCCCATTTACTGCATTAATTGGGGCGTATCTGTATGGCCTCTTTGAGAAAAGAAAAGTTTTGCTGCTTTCTATGAGCCATAGGATGGAATCAATGGTAGAAAATTAGGGTAGATACCCTGTGCCCATGTCAGCACCAAGATGATAAGAATGATTTTAATGCGGAGCACACAATCTCCCACTCTCCTGTGGTCTTGGATGAAATGACTTCATGGAGTAATATACATAAAAAATACACAACGGACTCTGAAAATCAAACTTCACATATTTTAAATTCAATTAATTAAATTGCATTAATTATTGAGACCCTCTTAGAGACCTATATAATTCTTAGATTGCTTCTAAGATACCATTACGAGAGGCTACCCCTCTTCCTTAGCTCTCCCAGGAATTCTTTCCCCCACGTCATATGCCCAGTCATGGATCAGACCTCTAGGGCATCCCTTCTTCCCTTCTGCCTATAGGTCTTTAGTCAGAATCTCCGATGAATTCCTGGCACTACCCAAATTTTCCTGTTCTGTCAAGACAGAATCTTCCATGTCAAAGACCTGGATGGTGAATGGGGGTGTATGTATTGGGATTCTCACAAGAAACAGAACCAATATAATGTGTGTGTGTAAAGAGATTTATTTTAAGAAATTTGCTCCCTTTCACGTTGATGTTTCTCTCTCTCTCTCTCTTCCTCCCACTCTATCTGAACAAAAAATGGAAAAATGTCCTTGGGTGAGGATTAAAAAAAAGAAATTTGCTCACATGATTGTGGAGGCAGGCAAGTCTGAAATCTATGGGGTGGGGGGCTGGAAGGCTAGAGATCCAGAGAAAAGCCAGTCCTGGAGTTCAAGTCCAAAGGCTATTTGCTGGCTGTTCCTTTAGGGAAGGTTAGTCTTTTGTCCTATTCAAGCTTGCAACTGATTGAATGAGGTCCACCACAGTATGGGGGCAAACTGTTTTACTCAAACTCCACTGATTTAAATGTTAATTTTATCCAAAACACCATCACATAAACATCCAGAATAACATTTGACCATGTATCTGGGCACCATGGCCCAGAGAAGTTGACATATCAAATTAACCATCACAGGGGGTGGGGGAGCATCCTTATCAAGCATAAGACATCAGCTTACTAAATATTTTCAGAAATGATTTAAAAGAAGCTTAAACAGCATTTACAGTTGACATGTAACTCTCTTAAGTGGTGACATAGTAACATGGGGTCAGTTTGCAAGATGATCTTAGATATCTTGTAAAAAGACAGAAAATTGTCAGAGTCTCTTCTATAGAAGCTAAATAACTATTTGTTGAATTAAATGTCTTAGGAAGAATCAAGTTGAATTGACTATTGAAGTATTTAATTGAGTATTATTAAATACTCTTAGAAAACATTGGTCCAAATTATGAGAATAGGGAAGTTGAGCTACAGAGCTCTTCATTACCACTCAAGAATGGGACCTATGGGCAAAAGACAACTTATTTACTCATCAGAATGATAAAGCTGTGTGTGTGTGTGTGTGTGTGTGTGTGTGTGTGCAAAGAGATTAATCAAATGGTTAATAGACAGCTACACCACTCTGCTTTGGACACAGCCATCACAGTCCCTGTGCAAAATTCTACTGGTTTTCAGGTACAGAAAATAATATTTCAGAAAGGCCCTGAAAGAAGGCACATGGCTAAAAGCATATTGTGCAGGACTCCACACTTAAAGAAAAAGAGAAGCTGTCTCCTTTGTTCAGTAAGAAGTAGCCAGAATATACCAAAATACAGATCAAATGCTCCAGCGATAAATGTGTAAACGAGTTTTTAAAAAAAGCTTCATCATGGGGAAAGAGGGGAATGGGGTCCTGTGGTGAGCTACAGGATGAAAAGAGAAAAGCTCGCTGGACATTTTGGAGGAGATCTTGAGGAGGAGTGATTCATTTTTAAAGACGTGTTTGCAGTCCAGAGGATCAGGCAGCTCCCGAGCACACAGGAAGGAGAGAAGGCTCCACGCTGATTATGTGGAACCCAAGGAGGTGAGCGTTTGCAGTCCCACTTGGCCTTATTTCTGTAAGGAGACATGTGAGGCCTGCTCATGGGGCAGGGGGTGACTACTAAAAATGTACTGATGTGCTAAATGTATAGATGCTGTACCTAGAGGCTAGGGAAAAAAGATCAAGCAGACATATTTTCTGTCTTACAATCTAGTTTGGGGGTAAGCCTCCTACCCGGATAAAACAGCAGTGGCTCTGAGGTAGCAGAGGAGATGGGAGAACTGCCACAGCAGGGAGGAGATAGAAGGTAGAAGAACGGAGACAGAAGCATAGAAAGGATACACCTTGCTGTATCTCTTACCTGCCCAAATCTCCCTGCCCCAAAGGGCCACTCCTTCATTCCAGGCTCTCATTGTCTTCCATCCAGATAACTGCAGATGAGAAACATTCCACTGGCCTCCATACCTTCATTTACAGTCCCTCTCCTCTGTCTTTGATGCTGATGTCAGGATAGGTATCGATGGATCCTTCTACTACTTCCAGGGAGCCAATTCAGGGCTGGGAGGACCAGAACTCTAGCATAGGATGCCAATGTGTAGAACCTTATTGTAGGTTCACAGCCAGCTTCCTTTGTGCACTTCTGGCTCCATCCCTCATCATGAGGAACCTTGAGTGCCTACGGGTGGAGACCTCAGCCCACACACCCAAGACCAGTTCTCACTCCTCTCCCATCCTGCAAATGGCTGCCCCTCAGTTTTATGAATCTGGTCCCATAAGAACTACAAATTCAACCCATTAGGTTCCTCCCCTTATTTCTTGCATTTCTGATCTCAGGAAATAATCAACTGTCATTAAGAGGCATGGGCCAGAATCGCAAGCGTCATTCACAATTCCCTTTCCCCCCTCATTCTTTACATCTAACTAGTAACTGTATCCTGTTGATTTTAATTCCTAAACATTTCTAGACTCTCTTTTCATCCCCTTTGCTATGATATTAGTTTAGATCTTCAGTCGGATTTACTGGAAGTAGTTGAATAGTCTCTTAAGAATTCACTACTGTAACTCATTTTTCACTCTATTGCAAAAATGGTTGTCCCAAAATGTAAATATGATCATTTCCTCCCTCTGCTTATATCTTTCACTGGTCTCTTCATGTTGTTCATGATAAAACTTAGAGTCCTGAACTCATGGCGATCTGTCCTCCCCACGTCCATTCCATCCTTGAGCGAAACAGACTACTCACACCATGCTTTGGGAGTGTGTCCCACACACTATTCCTTTCTCCCAAAGATCCTTCCTTCCTCTAGTGTCTGGCTAGCGCCTCTAATCTTTAAGACCCAGCCCACTCCTCATCTCTGAAAGGGTGGCCTGACTACCCCAGGCCTGACTGGGATCCTCTTTGTCACTGCTTATTCCAGCAGAACATTTTTTACGAACTATTCTAATAGTGGGTTTAACTGCATGGCTCCCTCACCAGACTGTGAGCTCCATGAAGGCAGGCAGCGCATCCTTCATTTTCTTACCCTCAGCATTGAGAACTACGCCTGACAATTAGCAGATGTTCAATCTAATTGTGTGACGAGTGCCAGGGAAGGTGCTGGGCCATAGCACAATGGGTGACAGAGCCTGTCCCCTACAGTGCTTTCTGTCTAAAGGGAAATTAGACAAGGGGCTTCGGTGCAGGTGCAGCGTGGTTGATGCTGAGAAGGCCGGGAGGGGAGTTACCTCTAGGTGGGTGTTTTGTCATCTTTGTAGGTTTATTAAATTTGGTAAAAGCCATCTCTGCAAAAATGTTCATTTTTCCCCCCATAAAACTTAGCATGTTCACAAATTCCCCTGGAGCCATCCATGGATTTCCAGATTGGCCCCTGCCTTAGAGCAATCTGCTCTGGCCCCCATCCAGCTGCCCTCCACAGCCACATGTATTTGAGGAGCATTTGAGATGAACGCAAAGGGAGGGAACAATGTTGGAAGTTGCACCTGTAGGAGGAAGAGGGAATCTGGTTCAGAAGGATGGGCCACGAAAATGCTAGCTGGAGCGAGGGGCCTGTTGGGAAAGGTAGATTAGGGTCTCTGCTGCAGAGGTCCTGACTCTCAGAGTTTGGAATTTTAAAAGGATTTTGTGGGATCATAGAGTCATTGAATGGTATAGAGTGGGTTCTAGGGGAAGAGAAAGGAAGTGGGGAGGGGGTTGGGAAGCTGTTACAGTGGCTGAGGAAAAACGTGTACTTGAAGTAACTGGACAAAGTGGGTGGGACGGGAATGGAAGAGATTAAGACCAAAAACAGAGCTTGGACAGACACTACAGGGCTCAACAAGAATTTAAGGAGAAGGCAACAAAAATTATTCTGAGGTTACAAGTCTGGACGTTGGGAAACTGGCCATGCTGTTAATGAAACAGGAAGGCTGGAGGAAGAATCAACTTTAGGGGGAAGATGACAAACTTAGATCTGGACATACTAAGTAAGGAGCCAGCTGAACACTGAGGTCGCTGCCCCCACCCCCGCTTCAAGTCTTTAAAGAGATTCTAGGATAGTCTTGAAGGGCTCCATTCCAGAGTGGTCCTGGAAGTCCCTAAAGCACCCTAAAGATAACTCCTGAAGAGGCTGCATATTTTCCATGTTTAAACTCTAGAT